TTTTTAAAATATGTTGCCTATTTCTTCTATACTCTACTCCACTTAAATCTTCAACTAAAATGATCTAGGCTGTTTACAACTTTCTACTATTCTTTCTGGAATCCATACTGACCTAGGATTTTTTTTAAAATATACTTTTTCTCCTATCTCTATAGGCTTTAGAGTTTTTGAGGCTCTAATATTATTTTGTGACGAATTTTGATTTGTTTTTGAATAAATATTATTTTCTTTTACTTTGTTGGGCAATTTAGACTTTAAATTATTAGACAATGATGGTAATTTCGTTCTGAGTTTTCTAGCCATTAAAAGTTCAGCTGGACTAGCAAAATTACTTTTAGGGGACGCACGATACTGAAGCAAAGTTGTATAGTAATCCGCTCCCGTTTCTAGACATTTATTAGGTAACTTTTTAATAGTTTGTACTGATCTTTCAGCAAGACCATTTGACCTTGGTAAATATGGACTCGACGTGATATGATCAATACCCCAGTCAACACAAAAATTTTTGAAATCGAGAGAATTAAATGGCGGGCCATTGTCTGATATTAAATACATTGGTATTCCATGACGTGAAAATATGCTCTTCAATTTTGTTACAACTGCTAAATTTGAAGAACCCGAGTTTAACTATTCAATCTCAATATATGTGGAAAAATAATCTACTACTAGTAAGTAAGTTCTTTTGTTAAATTCGAAAAGGTCTACACCTACTTCGAACTAAGGAATTGAAATTACTTCGTGACTTAGCAATTCTTCTTTGGGATTAGAGTTCCTGAATTTTATACAAATTTCGCAACTAGATACTAAATTATAAATATCATTATTAATATTTGGCCAAAAAATTGATTCTCTTGCCAAACTTTGACATCTTTGAATCCCTAAGTGACCTTCATGTAATCGAGATAACATTTTTGTTCTATAATTTTTTGGAATAATTACTCTATTATTTTTTAGTAATAGTCCTTCAATTTCATGAATACTATCTTTGATACTAAAATACGGGCTAATATCTAAGTCACACAATTTCTTTGATGCGGGCCAGCCTTCTTTTAAACATTTTAAAAGTTTTTGATATGTCTCATCGTTTTTTACGAACTGTTTTAAAACTTCAATATCATCTCTCGGTAAAGCAATTTGAGAAGCTATTGAATGACAATGAAGGTCTATATCTTTATCAATATCTGTAAATGATTCAGACTTTAAAGGTGCGCGAGATAATGCATCAGCGACATATAAATGTTTTCCTGGTTTATTAATTACTGTTAAATCATATGCTAGTAATCTAAGCATAAATCTTTGCAGTCTTGAAGGTATTTGATGTAGAGGTTTATTAAAGAGAGATACTAATGGTTTATGGTCGGTTTCTACAATAATATTGTGACCGTACACATATTGATGAAATCGAGTGCAACCAAAAAGAATAGCAAATAATTCCTTTTCTATTTGCGCATAATTTATCTAGCACTCCGTTAAAGACGTAGATGCATAAGCAATTGAATTTCTTTCATGCATAATTACAGCCCCCATAGCTACCTTTGATGCGTCTGCTGACAGTAACATCAAAATATGTTAAAACTGGAGCTTTTGTGATTTCTTTTTTTAAATTATTAAATGCTTCCTCTTGAGCTTTACCCCAGTCCCAAATAACATCTTTTTTTAATAAATTTCTAAGATGAAAGTTTTTTGTTGACAAATTCTGAATAAATGAACCTAAATAATTAATCATACCTAGAAAACGTTGGAGATCTTCGCTATTAGCGGGTGTAGGAAATTCCGTAATTGCTCTTATTTTATCAGTGTCTGGTTTAATACCATCTTCATTGAAAATATGTCCAATGAATTTTATATTAGTTTGAAAAAGTTTTGATTTACTTTTGTTGAAACGATGACCTATTTCTGTTGCTCTCTTCAAGACCTTATACAAAATATCATTATGCTCTTTTATTGATTTCGCATAAATAAGGAAATCATCTAAATAAATTATAACTAATTTAATATCACCAAAAAGACGAACCATTTCTCCATGGAATATTTCTGGTGCTGCGTTGATACCAAATGGTAGACGTAAAAATCTAAATCGGCCAAAAGGAGTGTTGAAAGTACACAACTTTGAAGAATTTTCATCCAAGGGCACCATCCAGAATCCTGAACTTGCGTCCAGAGAACTGAAAACTTTTGAACCAGCCATCTGCGACCTACACTCATCTAAATTAGGAAATGAAAATCTTGGCCTCACAATAGCTTTATTTAAATTACGAGGATCTAAGCATAAACGGATATTGCCATTTTGCTTAGTAACTATCACTATTGAACTGACCCACTCAGTTGGTTCAGTAACTTCAGTTATAACTTCTAATTCCTTCATTCTTTGTAACTCTTTTTTAAGTGGTTCAAGTAGACTAAAGGGCACTCTACGTTGTACATCAACAACTGGTGTACTATTGTCTCTGATTTCCAATTTACACTTATTTTTGAGCTGACCAAGACCATTGAACACGTCTGAATATTTACCAAAAATGTCTAATTCGTTACAATTGTTTATTTCTACTTTATTATTACAACTTACTGCGTTTACTATTTTAATTAGATTTAACTCAACTGCTAAGTCCAGACCCAGAACATTATTACACTGCATATTGACCACATGAAAAATAGCCTTTTGTCTAATATTGTTAAATAACAAATCCACATGAACTTTTCCTATAATAGGTAATTTTTCACCACTAAAAGTTCTAATATTATTAAAATTTTTTTCTAATTTAATATTATTAATTGTATTAAAAGTATATACCGACAATATAAGTTTGTTTCCGCTCCAGAATCTACCTGGCAGTTCACTTTTACGCCTTCTATATTGACATCAACATTCCATGATTTATTTTGTGTAAAAAACTTGTTTAAGTTTTTGCTTATTGTTCCAACAAATAAATCGTCATCAAATAATTTTGTTTCTTCAGACACGTTTTTTATATATCGGCTTTTACGGTACTGTTGTTGTTGCTGCTGCTGCTGCTGCTGTACTGATGAACGACTAAAGCACATTTTTGCATAGTGATTTGGCTTTTTACATATATGACAAATCACTCCATCGGCCGGACATTTGAATTTATGTAATTGGCCACACTTTTTACACTCTTTTTTACTATGTTTTTGTTGTACCGAAACGGGTCTTGCAATCCGTTGTTTTTTTAGCCCAGCAACCACGTTTTCATTTACTGTTTTCAGTATTGTTGTTGCATTTTGTCGTGCAATTTCAATATTTTTTGCTATTTCCAACGCTTTACCCCATTTAATATCACCTTCACTCAAAAGACGTTCTTTGATATGTTTAAAGTTGAGGGATAAGCCACAAATAAATATATCTCTAACCAAATCTTCACGCAGATCTTTAAACTCACATGTAGTGCTCAAGTTTTGTAGCGCTGTTGCGTATTCGCTTATAGTTTCTTCTGAGTTCTGTTGACGCGTAAAGAATTTGTACCGTTCCATAGCCACGTTAGCTTTTGGAATAAAGTATTCACAGAACTTTTTTAACACATTTTCTAATTTTACTTCTTCTATATCCATGTTAAATGAATTAAAAATTTCAAAACAATCTGCCCCCAAGTGGTGCAGTAAAAGTGCAACTTTGCGACGTTCTTGTTGTTCTTCTAAATTCGTTGCAAGCATAAAAATATAGAACTGCTTGCTCCAACTTTTCCATTCTTGAGCCAGATTAGTTGACCTTATATTTAACGGCGGTAGCGTTGTAGCAAAAATTTGACTATTTCCACTCATTTTATTATGTTTAATTTCTTTTTCTATTTCTTTTTCATCACCTGACCCCATGTTATATTTTATATAACCAACTGTGTTTATATATCTAAGTAAAACAATAGGTCTTTACCTTATGACAGCCTGACTTCGACTGACTCTCTATTTATTCAATATGTATTACAACTAATAATTACAGAGTTGTAATTATACTACTTAATTATACAACAGGAACCAAGTCACCAACGCTAGTAAGACAATGTTTCGTCGAGACTGAGATTCCAAATAGTAGTCACAATCGCCAGCAACAATTAAGACGTTTAGGTATACTTAAACAAAAAGATGACAATCATAACATCATAGTCCAAGACAAGTTCTTTAAAATTTTCAAAAATCCAAGGAAACGAACACGGAATTATTCTACGAAGTAATCAGAGTCCTTCAATTCGATGGGAAAACCGGGGAAGTGTAACATAAAATTTACACTCATAAATTTTACTACACAATAATACAAAACAAAATATATAAAATAAAAAAAAAAACAACACACATCAAAAACAATAGAAAAACTTGTAAACAACGCACCGTTGCAATTACAAGAACAAATATACTGTTTGCTTCGCACATCGCAGGTATAAAAGGCGAAGCAAAAGCAGTAGACGGAGATTCAGCAAGACATCGAGCTGCGAACAGGTTGTTCCATAGTACACATGCTGAAAGCACCACAAATCGAAATTTACATCTCGATTTCTTTTTTTATTAATTTTTTTTTAATTTAATAGAAATTCACATTTCTATTAAAATTCATTATCAAACGAAATTAACATTTCGTTAGTAATAGAAATATAAATTTCTATTACTCATTACCTATAACGAAACCCTATTTCGTTAATCAATTACTCGGTAAGGTGATAATAACCCATGAACATTATCACCCATACCAAATATATGTTTTAAAGAAGAAATTCACATTTCTTCAAACCTTTTTCCTTCAGGGGCGTCGAAAATAATATTTCTACGCCAAATACATTGTTTTTTAAAGAAGAAATTCACATTTCTTCAAACCTTTTTTCTTCAGGGGCGTCGAAAGTAATATTTCTACGCCAAATACATTGTTTTTAAAGAATAAATTCACATTTCTTCATACCTTTTTTTCTTTAGGGGCGTCGAAAGTAATATTTCTACGCCAAATACATTGGTTTTAAAGAAGAAATTCACATTTCTTCAAACCTTTTCTTCAGGGGCGTCGAAAGTAATATTTCTACGCCAAATACATTGTTAAAAAGAAGAAATTCACATTTCTTCAAACCACATCACCGCACCAACGTCACCATCCACCGTGTATTCACACGTTCCACTGTTCCTAACAAACAAATTTATTGTAGGACTGAACCTGGAATCCGGCGAGCAAAACCCCGGCCAGAAAGGTTCGTTACAATTGGCGCCCGAGCAGGGACAGTGGGAACAAAACTGACCAACATCTTTAGTTGAGTATGGAAGACAAACCAACGGTGGTACCATCAGGAATCAAGGAAGTGACAGGACAAGCAGGCCGTAAAACAGCAGTCGCTTCGACAAGCGCAAAACGACTAACATCAGGAGGCAAATCTTGGATTTACTTCGCTAAAAAGGAGGAACTGGTGAGTTACGCAGACGAATTCGGATTAGATCCAAGTGGTTCACTGGAGGAACTTCGGAAAAAACTTTCAACTTTCATGGATTCAGAGGCAGCTGAGAAAGATACCGCCCGGCTACAGGAACTCGCTAAACTACATATCAGAAGCTCATCACCGGGAGTCATTGAAAATAGACGTCCTTCGATAACTAAGGGAGGAAGTGTAACCATGGCCGAATATCCAGTGATCATCAATCAAGTCAGAAAATGGGAATGCCACTACTCAGGGGAATACGAAATACTACCATTTATAGAACGGATCGAGGATCTGGCGGATATGTACGGAATACATAGGGACTTATTACCGAAGCTAATGCCTGAAGTACTAAAAGACAAGGCACTGATCTGGTTCAGGAATAACAACAAGCGATGGACCGAGTGGCCATCATTCAAAGCAGATATATTAGCATTCTTCTTGCCCCCAAGATACTTCGAACAATTAGAGGACAAAATACGAGCCCGCCTGCAACAACCCAGGGAACTGTTCAGAGATTATGTGTTGGCACTGCAGAACATCATGCAATATTCAACATACAGTGAAGAGATAAAATTAGAGAGGATCTACCGGAACAGCCGTACCGAGTATCAATGGTATATTCGTAGGAAAGACTTCCAGTCATTATCCGAGCTGTTAACATTAGCTGGGGACCTGGAGGCACTGACCGCTACAGACCGTCAAGTAAGAAATACGTTACCGGCTAAGGAGATCAAAGCACGAGTGATTGATGCATCTGAAGACAAGATCAAAGATGTCAGGACAGCTTGTCGTCGTTGCGGGCAACAAGGACACTTGAGGTGGAATTGTCGTTTTTTGCTGGGAATGCGGGAAAAAAGGAAAACGTACAATTGATTGTTGCAGGAACCAGGTAAACGAGGTCAGGGTCCATCGACAGTACGGGGCGATGAGACCTCAAGACAACATCCCGTCCCACCATTAGGATGCATGAAGCTCAGTGAATCACGTCTGTCGGCCCAAGTAACTATTAATCAACAAGAACATCTAACGCCGTCACAGCTAGAGAAAGTTGGTTCTCTTCGTCTGATTAGAAAAGTAAATAGATCATTGAATCAAAACAAAAAATGTTGTTTTTTAACTCAGGAGCTATCCAGTTCGAAAAATCGGAAACAAGTGAAAGACCGAAGTAAATTTCAACAGGATTGCGATCAAAATAACATAGAATTACTAAGTCAAGATATACACCGCCAGCAAAATACAGAGTCTTACACAGAATTACCGAGTCAAGAAATACACCGTCAGCAAAACACAGAGTCTAATACAGAATTACCGAGTCAAGAAATACACCGTCAGCAAAACACAGAATCTGACACAGAATTACCAAGTCAAGAAATACATCGACAAAACACAGAGTCTAACACAGAATTACCAAGTCGAGAAACACCAGGTGAACGGAACACGGAACCTAACACAGAATTACAAAGTCAGGATACACAACTTAACAAACAGTTGCAAACTCAAGTCCAAGAAATACACCGCCAACGATCTACAAGGGAGTTTCTAGCACAAAGCCAAGAAATACAACGACAGCAAAACTCAGAACCTGACAGACAGTTACAAATTCCAAGCCAAGAATGTCGAGCACAAGTTTCAATTAATCGCGTTAGTCAACAGGAACAACTGCCACCTCAGGAGAACTTTAACATAGATCAAACGAAGGCAAAAGGAACCATGTCACCAACGCTAGTAAGACAATATTTCGTCGAGACAGAGATTCCAAATAGTAGTCAAAATCGCCAGCAACAATTAAGGCGTTTAGGTATACTTGAACAAAAAGATGACAATCATAACATCATAGTCCAAGACAAGTTCTTTAAAATTTTCAAAAATCCAAGGAAACGAACAAGGAATCATTCTACGAGGTAATCAGAGTCCTTCAATTCGATGGAAAAACCGGGGAAGTGTAACATAAAATTTACACTCATAAATTTTATGACACAATAATAAAAAAACAAAATATAGACAAAATAAAAAACAAGAAAAAAAAAAACACACAATAAAACCACTAATAAAACTTGTAAACAACGCACCGTTGCAATTGCAAGAACAAACATACTGTTTGCTTCGCACATCGCAGGTATAAAAGGCGAAGCAAAAGCAGTAGACTGGCAGTCAGCGAAGCATCGAGCTAGTAAAGACATCGTTCTAAACTTGCAAGCTGATACATCGGTGAACGGAAATACACATTTCAGTTCGCATTGTTTTTTTAAAATATAATAGAAATAAACATTTCTATTATATAATTACTTGTAAACCAAATCGGTGAATAGAAATATACATTTCAGTTCCCATTGTTTTTTTTAAATATAATAGAAATAAATATTTCTATTATATAATTACTTGTAAACCAAATCGGTGAATAGAAATATACATTTCAGTTCACATTGTTTTTTTTTAAATATAATAGAAATAAACATTTCTATTATATAATTACTTGTAAACCAAATCGGTGAATAGAAATATACATTTCAGTTCACATTGTTTTTTTTCTAATATAATAGAAATAAACATTTCTATTATAAAATCAATAGTCGGATATACAGTAGTAATAGAAACATACATTGCTATTTTCTTTGTATATGACGAAAGCAACACTCAGTGATTGTAGCGAAGCCACCGTCCACCGTACATCCAAACTCACCACTGTTCCTAACAAACAAATTTATTGTAGGACTGAACCTGGAATCCGGCGATCAAAACCCCGGTCAGAAAGGTTCGTTACAAACTAATTAAAAAAATCACAAAAGAAGCACCGAATGTATTTTTAATCACTTACTTACTTACTTATGTGGCCATAACAACCCGTTACCGAGTTTCGGCCTGACGCAGCATGTCTCCCCAGG